TGCTTAACGAGAGCTCAATACGCAAATGTTTGTAGAGAATTCCTCAAAATTGTGAAAGAAGCAAAAAACAAAAAATACAAAGAAAAAATTAGTTTTAGTAAATATTTTAATAAATATTTTTTTATTTATTAAAAAAAATATATTTTTTTTTTTTAAATAAATTAACATAAAAACTAAAAGTTAGACTTAAATCCTTATATGGATGTTTTTTTTTAAATATTTACTTGGTGGCTGAAGCGCCGCTCTACGCTTTAATTTTGATCGCCTGGATATGGTAGAGAGCTTTTCAAAATCTACAAAATAAATAAAAACAAAGAAAATATTTAGGAAATTTTTAAATTAACTAAAGCAAACTTAAAACTAACATGTTCACAAAATTATAGAAGTGTATAAATGGATAAAATTGATTACAAAAAAAAAAAAATTAATCTTTTTTTTTTGCGTATTGCACGACTTTAAAAGCGTATAAAAAAAGCGTGTAGTTTCACACTCGTGAAAAATCACTTCATCTTGAAAAGCCGCATACACTTGGAAATCAATGTAACAACTAAGACAGTTCGCAAGAGCAACGTGATGTAATTATTTATTGCGCGTTAATTTTTAAACCGAGAAGAGTTCGCTTTATCTTAAGAAAATTTGCAAGTTAGTTAAATAATTTAAAAATTAGTAGATTATTAATTTTAATTTAGTACTTTATATAGTATATGTTTTATTTTAATATTTACATCATTATTAATTATTTTAATTTTATTTATTTGTTTATTTTAAGATTTCAGTCAAAAAAAGAAGCATTTAATTTAAAGTTAAAAAGAAAAAAAAAAAAAAACTTTCACCCTATATATTTAAAAAGCACCGTGCGCGCTACTACACATACATGCATGCATATGCATGAATATATACATATATACACAATAGCAGGCAGCTTTATCCGTAGGCAAACTATGGCTTATACTGTGCATGAATATAGAATTGCACAGACGAAAAAAATTGTATTGAAAATTATTTTCTATAAAAGAAAAGATTTTTTCTACGTTACTATTATCTTTATCTTTAATTTTCTATATGTGTTTGTGCATGGAAAACAAACATTTACAACAACAATAGCACTAGCGATAAAAAGAAAATTAACAAACCTTAAAATGGTAAAATATACATAAAATATAAATAAAAGAAATACATACACACAAACACGCATATATAGCAGTTATATGCTAGTTTATACAGATAGACATTGTGTAGCGTATTGTAGCTAGTAAGTGTGCTATTGTGCACAGAATAAATATCGAAAAAAGAAAAAAATCTCCTATTTTATCGCATGACAATAACAAAATTTGATGATATTTCAAAAGACTTAAGAAAAAAACTTGAACAAATCTTCTACAATTTTATAGAAAGTTTACGAGTTGAAGAGAAGAAATTGAAAAAATAAAAAAAAATAAAAAAAAAAAAAACGTTAAAAATATCCATATAATGCTTGATGATTAGGGCCATTTTGAAGGTAATTACTAAGCTTTGGTTTTTCTATACACCGAAAAACATGTACATAATAATGATTAAATGAAGTACAACTAATTAATCGCTAAACAAAAACTTATAACTAGAAATTTAATTTTTTTAAATACATATTAACGGTTTTCGCTTTCATTGAAAACTTAAATATTAAGCAAAAGTGAATTTTTATGAATTATGCAAATTATATAACAAACATAACAATTGTGCAGAAAAACCTAAACAAATAGAAAAATAAATAGAAAAAAAAAAAAAACAAAACCTATAATACATATATGCACACCACGCATAAGAAGAAACAAAATGCTTTCAAAATGAAAATAAACTTATCGGTTCTAGAGAGATGTACAAAGTTAAAGACATGTTTACATTCTTCATATATATATTCACTAATAGTAAAAAAGGATTCATTCAGTACATTATAAATTATATATATAGCAGATATAATTAGGCCTTTGTTCAAACCTCCTAACTTATACTCCGTTAATAGGTAACTGCACTTATATCGTGTTAGTGGAAAAATAAAAATTTTAAATTTTGATCTGATGTCTTGGGGTATCAAGTAGTATACCCAATACGTCCGGTAATAAATGAAGCGAACAGAAGTAAAAAAGATTTAAGGGAAATATAATGAGAAATTTTGTCATTAGATGGTATTTGGTGTCATATAATGGACAACAGTAACGGATTATGTCATACTGACACGCCTTTAAAGGGGCCCTAATTTTCATGAAGATAGCCGTCGTAGTTCGCTTCCTCAATGAATTGGGAAAAATGAAGAAAGCTATGCACTTACCGCACAATTTGCATTTCAGAGCGCTGTTCTATAATTTACTTTGTTTCCTTCGTGGTCCAGAGTTGATTACGAAACCGGGCTGGCAAAGTCGTTTAGCCAAGTTTTTCGCTATTTTCGATGTAATAATGAAATAATGGAATTTTCGAAAAACAGAGGAAAAGCTCATTGGTAATAATGCCCACCAAATATCGCAATGCAATTCATTTTAAATAAAAAAAAAAATGTAATCAAGAAGTTGAAAGTTGCTTTGGATTAATGTCTGCATCGGCCTTGAGAGCTTAATCGGACCACGCTCGTAGGCTTGTCGGGTGACAACCATACCACGTTAAATACATCATATCATCTTAAGCCCCTACAGAGAGTCTCTATGTTAATCGTCTTCAAATGCCTTGACGACTTAATCAAACGAGACTCGTAGTCGCAGATCGCAGTAAAGGCTGATGTAGGTTAAAAGCTTTAGTCTTCTGTTTCTTACGAAGAAACCAATTTATTCCCATGCGGTCAGAATGAATAATAATTTTGCCACCGTGGGTAGATCACGCGCATTTTGAAACTCGATCTTTAATCGTCAGTGGTGAAAGTATCCTATTTCGATATCAATGTTTAACACAATTCTGATAGTTTCCCCTGTTTCACCTATAAATTGTAAAAATATGAATGGGACCGATGAGCAGACATATTTAATTAAACCCTGAGTCTTGGGCCAAATTTCGCTTGGATTTGAAATTTAACCGCAGTAAGTTTAATAATAGACATAGTTAATACCAATAGGAATACAAAAACAAAATATGAATTATAATCTACTTAAGGCTCAATACTTTACTTCAATGCTTTGGAACACTTTGTGTCTGGTGTTAACAGAACAGTCTTTCAGAAAAAGTTTTTAAAGTAATTTTAAAAAATGTTTACAAAAATTGAAACAAACATGAAATGAAACAATAGCTAAACTTAAGCTTAAGGCATTGAATGGTTTCAAGAATTTAAAAGAAAGCAGCTAAAGATAAGAAAACAGAAAATATCTACCAACACACCAATACAAAGAAAAACTTTCGCATACACATAAAAGGCAAAGCAATCCACGCTAACTAGAAAACATATGAACCAAAATGATAAATGGAACATAAGACCAACATCAGTTTAGGCAACTAAGCCAGCAAACTAAGTAAGCAAAGACTTGGTTCAGTCTAAGCTCGCTGCCATGCATTAACAACCATGCAGGCAAACAACACAATTTCATGCAGAAGAAGAATGTAAAGTGTTTGCGGTAGAAAGAAAAAAAAAAAAAAAAAAAAAAAAAAAAAAAAAAAAAATACAAAAGAAAAGAAGTCTTCGTACACGCACACATAAATAATTACAAACACACACACACATATATATATATATATATATATATACCCACACACATACACATAGAATAGACGATGAGAAAGCATTTCTCTCATCGAAGCTACGAAACATTACAGTAAACAATTTTGTGAACCACGTTTTAAGCTTAAAAGTCTAAGAAGAAGAAATTGCTTTAACTTAACTTCTACAAACATAAGTCACTCGCGCACGTTTACAGATAAACTAACGACGTTCAACCAGGTAAAAGAGATCTTTAAAGCGAAAGCCTCTTGTTTTGCAAGCAAGCGGCTCTTGTAAAAAAAAAAAAGTCGAAACAAACGAAAACTGAAATGTGTTGAAGTGCAATAAGATTGTACCATGTAATAGTATACATACATATATACATCTATTTATGTATAAGCGTATATTTTGTGCAAACTTATATATATATATATATATATATGTGTGTGTGTGTATGTGTATGTGTGTATTGTTTTCTTTTTGCTGCAAACTACTGAAAGTGTACATCAAGTTTAAACGTTTGGCGGTGTGTAGAGGATAAGCACAGTTTTCACTAACGCACGCAGCACAGACGTACCAAGTGTGTCAAAGCGAACGTTACGTTAAACAATTTTGGTGTCCCCTTCAAAATAAATTCAAAAGAAAAAAAAATAAAATAATTATAACAAAAAAAAAAAAAAACAAACCCAAAATATTAAAATAGAAGAAAAAAAAAGAATAAAAAAACACTATTCTATAAGAAATTTCTTAAATTATCTCTAAAGAAAAGTACAAAACTTGGAAAATTTACTTTAAAAAATAAAAATATATACATATGTATATATATATAAATATATATATATATATATATATATGTGTGTGTATAAATAAATAATTGTAATTGAAAAGAATTCCAATATAAAACACCATCAAGATGCTCCTAATGCTATTAACATTCGAAAGATTTCAATAAACTGAGTGTGCCTTAAGCGTTATTATTATCAAGGAAAAGTGAAAGTATTGAATAAGTGTTTGACAGATTTAATGTTCCATCCATAAGCATAACACTTGAACTCCTACAAATTAAGGATTACTAAGGATTATATAGCTTCACTTCAGCTTCACTCCAGCTTCAACCATAACTTTTCCTCTCTTTTTTTCTTTATTTACTTATTTGTTTTTTTTTTCAAAGTAAACTTTTCCCTCTCCTTTTCTCTTTTTACGTACAAAGTGAGGATTTTTGCCAAAAATTAACAAACATTTTATATATTTTTGTCTTTATTTTTTTTTTTTTTTTTTTTGTTTTTTGCTCTTTTTTCTTTTTCTTATTAAAAAAAAAATAATAAAAAAATATTAAAAAAAAATTTCGAAAAAATAAAAACTATTTTCTGGTGAAGCTTTCTAAGCTTGAAACAATTAAAATCTTTTCAACATTTTACCGTTACAATTGGATAATAAAATTTCACCATCACCGATGGATATGGCTGCCAATGATATTATGGCACCCAGTGTCAATGCAAATTGTCAATACTCAACAAGATATTGCTGTAAGTATTTTTCATCTCTTTTTAAAGAAATTTTATTTATTTAATTTTAATTTTACTTTTCCTTTTCATTCGATATAAATTGCAATACAAGTTCCATACTAAGATCGTTATAGTGAAAACTTTTTTATGTATTCGCGTCACTTAATGCACTCTTAATAAAAATAATTGATTTTGAAATACATCTAAAACTTCGCTTAATCACTAGTTGGCTGCTAGTGTTTCTCTGTTCGGTGAAAAAGGAAAGAAATAATAATAAAAAAACAAAAGAAAAAAATATGATTGAATATGATTTAAGATAATTCACCTGAAATTATTTAATTACTCATGAAAAGATATCAAGTATTAGCTCATCGGCCTTAAGCATACTTGACTTGGATTGAAAAGCTTCTTAAATAGATTCCATTATCGCAATAAAGTACATCGACTTCTTAGAAATAGACTATCTATGTTCTTCGCACTTAAACATTTACGGTACAGTTTTTATAAGCTCAACTTAGGCTCCATGGAAAATAATCGATTGCTGACTATCGCTTAATATACATTTTCGGAAAAAATGCTCCCATGATTTATATAATACTTCTTGCAGAAGGACAACTAAATAGGTTTTCAACAGCCTTAGCAAGAAGAAGAAGTAAAACAAAGAGACACGGCCCCACCAAACTACCTTGCTTTTCGTAATAAAGCGTTAAAGTGAAATTGGTTCGAATTCACTAGTTTTGGGCTAAAACACGCCAGTGGACCAAATTTCTTCAAAACATCTCAAAAATTAGCAGCCTACAAAGAGAATTTGCCTTGCGGAAACAACGCAAAAAGGTCGACGGACGGACAAGCTTACATCGATTTAGAAAATGATTTTGAATCTATCGGTATGATAAAAGACGCGTTTATCTTAATTTCTTCTGGAACTTACCCGGACACCACAAATGCTTTACGGGGGTCATATAAATTATATAATAATTGAACAAATGACATTAAAAGTCATATGATTTTTTTCCAATCATTCCTAATCATCCTTCGATCCATTTTGGCATTACCTTTCCATTACATCTTATGCCCATCCTTGTAGCTATTCTTACTTTTATTCTCTCCTCGGCCTTTTTTCTCTTCAATATGCCATAGTTCTTGCATTTTTCGTATTACCACTCTCTACGTGTATTCCTCTTTGCTTTACTGTGTACGTCCCCTGTTCCTTTGCATCTTTTGCTCTTCTTTCATTTTTCCTATCATGAAAGCTTATCGTGTGTCTCCTTTTCCTTCAACGTTTTCATCCGGTGCACCTTTCCATCTATCCTTCCAATCATCCCTTCTTCTCTCATTCTTCTTCCCTTTCCGATTGTAAACATTATGGTAGTAAACTAAAATGAAATAAATAAGAAATGTAAGGAAAAAAAACAAAATTTCAATACTCTATATATATATATATATATTGTGAGGGCCTTTCCGGCTCATTTTCTGGGGCTGGGGTAGCTCAGCGGCCCAGGAAAACACAAGAACATTTATTTTTTACAGGGACCTTTATTGTTCGGTTTTTATATTCCACTTTTATTCTTACGACTATCCAGGGCGATGGTCGAGCTAAGACTAACTCTAAATTATTCTAAGTTATTTTATTCTACCCTGGTCTTAACCTATTCTTATTCTATTCCTAACCCTATTCTTATTCTATTCCTAACCTTATTCTTATGCTAAGTTACTCTCTAACTTAAACTAGCACTCTCTCTCTCTCTCACCAGAGACGGAGAACCCGTGAGGCCAAAGCGAGGGACGACTTTGGGTCCTCACATTATTTCTATTAGATAGGCGAAGTCGATATTTTCCATTTTTGTACGGTTCTTGTAAGGTAACGCTTGGAATATATTTGAAGATTTCTAGCATCGTATCCGGTGCAGTGTATGAATGAGACAAAAAAAAAACATTTTTATTCATTTCAACAAAAACAAATTTCCAGATGATATTGTACTGTAGGCGTGTCTTTTGATCGATTTTGTCCACTTTCTATATGAACCGTCATACAAGAAAAAGTTTTTGCCAAATTTTAAGCCCTTGCGACAGGGGTACATTTAATAGAAACAGGTGGACGGATAGACATGCTTAAATCGATTCAGAATTTTATGTTGACCGAGCACTTATGTACTATATAGGGTGTCTGAAGCTTCCTTCTGACTATTGCGAATGTTTTTAAAAAATGAATATAACGGCATAGCAGCCGGATAAAAAAAAAGAACTGATCTGCACCGTCCACAACTGCTAATGAAGATTCTTGTAAAGTATTAGCACCAGAAATTTTCAAACTATTTGTATGACATAATCAATCTGTGTTAGTGCTTTGCTTCAATAATGTTCTTATATGTGAAAGTAGATCGAGCAGAACTGTTAGAAAAAAAAAACGGCAAAAACATCCCAATATCCCAAACGGGCGCTCCGATCGACTTTATAATAAGTATTCCAGCAGACAAAATAACAAAAATATTTATGTGACATGTAACGAGAGTTTCTGAAAAATTCTTGCGACTTTAAGAGTTCAAATAATCGACGTAGAATACTCAGACAGACCGCGAAATGTTCGACTTAAGCAAATTCTATGCAAGAATTATTTCAATTCTAGTTCCAACCATAATATTATTCCTTCTATTATAACAGTATGCAGACATATTCACAGTTTACTTATTTATGATTATCCTCTAAAGGTATTCGAATAGCGTCCTAATCTCACCAATATGTCGACCATCAGGTGAATGCATTTTCGCAATTCATACGCAATTTTATTGCTCTACAATAGGCAGACGTTGATATGATTATACACTTAACTTGAGTTCGAAACAGATCTTAGCATAAATATAAATCATACAAGGTATTCTTCGATAGAGATTAGAATATGTGCTGGCACGCATTACCAGGCCAGCATGTTCACGCATCATTATCAAGAAATTCTTTCTAGTAAAGTAGACTTTGTAACAATAAAGTCTACAAATCCACAAAGATTTGCTTTTGGGTTTTTCTTTTTTTTCTCTTCTTTCACTGAACTATTAAACAGACAAAGACTTCCTTAAACAGCGATGAGGTGAAACAAAAATTTCACATTTTCTCAGAAGATTTGCTTTTCTTTATTTTCCTCACTTTGTCACATCATTTCCATCGAACAAACTCAAGCTTACAAGACCTTCCCAAAAATACTGGAAAAAAGCAAGAGAAAAAGAAAACAAGTAAAAAATATCTAATCGTTTCACGACGAATCTTGCATACCCTTCAACTATGACTAATCTAAGGAAGCGGATATTAACTT